GCTCCAGCGGTACTACGGCCCGTCCGCGGCAGAGGCGGCGGAGGCGACCCCGGACCCCGCCGACATCAACGGTCCCCACTTCGACCCGGAAGTTTTCCTCACTAAGGTGACCTTTGACCCCGCAGTGACCTCCTCCCCCTCCCTCCCCCCGGGTCGTGGTGGGGACCCCGCCGGCACGTACCCCACCCCCGGCAGGGAGCCCCGGGGACCCCCCACAGAGATCCCCCGGGACCCGGGCAGGGCGCTCCATGGGGCCACCGAGGACCCTCAGGCCACCCCCAGCGCCCTGAGGGGGCCCGGAGAGGGGCTCTGTGGGGACCCTAGAGATCTTCTTCCGTAGGGACACTTTAGGGTACTGTGTGTGTCCCTGTGGGGACGGTGTTGGGCCCTCTGGAGCAGCTGGGGAGGCCCTGGCGGCAATTAGCACTCCTTGGGGGGGCAGTTAGGGCTCCTGGGGGTTGGTCGAGGATCCCAGGAGGCCCTGAGGGGCAGAAGGAGGGTTTTGGGGGATATTTGCAGATCTCAGGAGGGACCCAGGGGGGCATTCGGGGGCTTGAGGGGCAGTTAGGGCTCCTTAGATGGTATTTAGGGCTCTGAGAGGGGCAGTTGGCGATTCTGGGGGGGGCAGTTAGGAGTTCAGGGGGCAAATGAGGATCCCAGGAGGGCCGTGGAGGGCAGGTCGGGACCCAGAGGGGCAGCTGAGGACCCTGGGGGGTGCACTGGATGCTCCAGAGGATACATTTGCGGAATGGAGGGGTGGTGGGCCCTATGAGGAGGCAGTTGTGGCAGTGTTGCCCCCCCACAGGTGCGCAGCGAGTGCCCCCTGGGGCAGTTGTTGGCCCGCGAGGCCGCGCTGGGGCGGGAGATCCGCGCCCTCGACAGCGACATGCAGACGCTGCTCTACGAGAACTACAACAAGTTCATTTCCGCCACCGGTGAGCACCCAGCGGGGGGGACCCCGGTGTCCGAGGGGGACTGGGGGGGTCCCAGGCAGCCGCAGGACCCAGGCTTGTGGTTCCTCCTCCCCAGACACCATCCGAAAGATGAAGGTCGACTTCCGGCGCATGGAGGCAGAGATGGACGATTTGGCTGCCAACATGGCCGCCATCAGCACCTCCAGCGCCCGCGTCAGCGCCGCGCTGCAGGACCGGCACCGCCGCGGCGCCCAGCTTGCCGGTACAGGGAGGGGGTGACCCCAGAGGGCACATCCCTTTGAGGGTGGGGGGGGT